CACACTGAGCTGGGCTGTATCAACACTGAGCTGGGCTGTATCACACTGCTCTGAGCTATATTACACTGAGCTGGGCTATAGCACACTGAGCTGGGCTGTATCACACTGAGCTGGGCTGTATCACACTGAGCTGGGCTGTATCACACTGCGCTGGGCTGTATCACGCAGGTCTGGGCTGTATCACGCAGCTCTGGGCTGTATCACACTGAGCTGGGCTGTATCACACTGCGCTGGGCTGTATCACACTGCTCTGGGCTGTATCACACTGCTCTGGGCTATATTACACTGGGCTGTATCACACAGCTCTGGGCTGTATCACGCTGCTCTGGGCTGTATTACACTGGGCTGTATCACACAGCGCTGGGCTGTATCACACTGCTCTGAGCTATATTACACTGGGCTGTATCACACTGCTCTGGGCTGTCTTATACTGAGCTGGGCTGTATCACACTGCTCTGGGCTGTATCACACTGCGCTGGGCTGTATCACGCAGCTCTGGGCTGTATTACGTAGCTCTGGGCTGTATCACACTGCTCTGGGCTGTCTTACACTACTATGGGCTGTATCACACAGCTCTGAGCTGTCTTACACTGCTCTGGGCTGTATCACACAGCTCTGGGCTGTATCACACAGCTCTGGGCTGTATCACGCTGCTCTGTGCTGTATCACACTGAGCTGGGCTGTATCACACAGCTCTGAGCTGTCTTACACTGCTCTGGGCTGTATCACACTGCTCTGAGCTATATTACACTGGGCTGTATCACGCAGCGCTGGGCTGTATCACGCAGCTCTGGGCTGTATCACGCAGCTCTGGGCTAGATTGCACTGCTCACCCAGGCGTGTCCGGAGAGAAGCCAGGGTATCGGCTTCAACCACAGGGCTGGGCAGCTTGTTCCCCACCCCCACCCCCCTCTGTGTAAAGTTGTCCCTTTCCCCCCACCTCCAAAGCACCTCCCGTATCAATTACCGATTGATCCACATGTCTCGGGTATCGAACAACAAAGACGTCAGTAAGGTCGCACAGGGCTCCCCGGTCATTTACCTGAGCCAGGCGTGCGGCGTACCCCGACCGGCTCACGGGCTCCTCTGGACTTGAACCCGCCACCTTCCTGCCCTGGGGCGTCTGCGGCCCTCGGACCCTGAAATGAAGCCAGCAGTTGCCTCAGGGTCAAACAATTCAACGGCGGAGAAGCGAACTCGCTCGCCTCTCAGGATCTAAAGAATCAAAGGGCGATCTTTCTCATTCTTCCTCCTCCTCCTCGCTAAACCAACGACTTCCCATATATTACTTTAGTCATGAAGGTTCTCTCAACTTTCCTCCAGGTGGTCCGGTTTCCTCTCACAGCCCTGTCTAGGGTGTGTGAGTGTGTGTC